AGACTTTCATGCCTTGCCTCTGATCATTTCCTCTGCCTGGAATGCTCTTCCCTACATTGTCTCCTGTTGATGACTTTCTCTTTATCCTCCAGAACACTTAGTTCAAATGTCACTCTTTTGTGCCAGTCTCTCTTTCACATCTTTCGACATTACCTTTTCCAGCTGATTTAACAGTCCCCTCCCCTGTGCTCCCTCAACAATTTGTACATCTCACTAGCACAGCATTCACCACTCTGAATTTTAATTAATTGCTTGCTTCTCTGTCTCACCGGCTGGAGGGAGCATGCTTAACCCATCACTGCACTTCTGGTACCTGGCTCAGAGCTGGACTAGTAGTAGCATCTGTCTGTCTATCTCTTTATCAATCTATCATTATCATCATCACCATCATCAACATCTATCCATCATTTATCATCTATGTGTCTTCTATCTGTCAATCATTTATCATCCATCGATCAGTCATTTACTTATTTTCTATCAATCATTTATCACCTATGTATTATCTATAGAAGAAGTTAGATGTGGTAGTCACTTAGTTGTGTCTGATGCTTTGTTACCCCAGGGACTGGTCAGACTCCTCTGTTCATGGGATTCTCCGGGCATGAATACTGGAGTGGGTTGCCATTCCCTTCTCCAGGGGATCTTCCTGACCCAGGGATCAAAACTGGGTCTCCCACATTGCAGTCAGATTCTTTACCATCTGAGCCACCAGGGAAGCCCATCTCTGTTTATGTATCACCTACCTATTTATCTATGTATGGAATGAGTAACTCACTCTGTGGATAAATGGGCTCTATCCTTCACCACTGTGGTCTCCATTTACCTAGCCACACTCTGCTCTTCCTTGAAAGCTTTGCTCATGTACTTGCTTCATGAAATCATCCTTGATTTCACTGCCCCAGTCAGAATTTCCACTCCCTATTCTAACTGTCCCAGTGCTTTGCTGAAGGGGAGATGGAGCGGGGAGTGGGAAGAGGTAGCATGTGGAGACTGATGGCACCTCTCCTCCCCTCCTGCTCCTCCTCTGCTTTAGTTGTGTGTTGTTATACAGGCCCCTGGCCAGCCTGGCATTCTTGATCCTTGAGAATCCAGCTTCCCCTCACCTCTACCCCATGTCCCAGGTGACTTAGGCAGGCTAAGAGAGGAGCCTTCAGAGGTGCTAAGACAAAGCTGGCCCTTTCCAGGACGGGAGGGACATGTTCACCAAGAGAACTGTCTAAGAGGATGGGCCCATGCTAGGGGACTTATGTAAATCAGAAACAAATTGGATGCAAATATTATGCAAATATACATGTGGTTCTCCTGATTGCTTCTTTCAATGGGAGGGGTGTCCTTGGCAAGCCTCTTGCCTGGGTCACTGGGAACAGGATGAACAGGGACCCTGCCCCCATCCACGTGTTCTCCTTCCCTCCTCTCACAAGGCCCATCATCCCTATCTGTGACCACAGCTACAGCCAGTGCTTCTGTCAGGAGTGTGTGGGGCTAGGATTTCCTATCACCCTCTCCTTAGGGGTGGGCTGGCTTGTGTCTCCCCTGTCAGACTGGGGAGTCCTGGAGGGAGTGTGGTGGCAGGAATGCTGAGGTCGGCTTATCTCAAGCATGGCTAAATTCTGCGAGGATGAATATGGGAAAAGGTCCTTCTCCATGACTGTGTTAGCTTTACCTGAGTAATTCTGCCCCTCTGTCCCCGCCGTCCCCACAGACTAGGGACACCCAGCGGGGGAGGCTGGAATGAGACTTGACTTTCTTGGTTTGGAGTAAGGCAGAATCCTGTTTTGTTTACTCCACCAAAAAAGAAAAAAAAAGTTGTTTTTTCCTGAGGGGAGAAAAGTTCCAGTCATTTCCATAAACAGGTCCACCTTCTCTCCTGAGCCAGAGTAGGCTCCTTAGCTGAGCCTGGCTCTTGGTCCGAATGTGAATGAGTCAGTCCCCACAGGCTGCTCCATGATCGAGGGCATGTCTTTAATTAAGGGGACAATTGCTTGGCTCAAGGATGGAGGCTTCTAGCCAACAGCCCAATCACTCCATCCTGTGAATCTTCTCTCAGCCTGTCTGTCAAGCCTCTTTTTTTTCTTACTGAAGAGACAAGACGTGGGCAAATTGGAATGAGAGATGGGGGAGCAGCCACCTTCTCTGATCATGTCTGGACTCTAGTGAGGGCTCATCCAAGAATCTGGAGCCAGTGAGAGCAGAGACATGCTGGACCAGAGCCCTTGACATCTGTATCCTTCGGTATAGGGGGGTGAGAGCCAATCCCTCATTTTACAGGGGCCCAGGGATGGGAGACATTTTTTAAGGTTATATAAAAAGGCAGTGGCAGAATTTGGATGCTAGAATACTGAACTCGTGCTGAGTTTAGTTCATTGACTTCTTTATCCAGTGGGTATTGATCTGAGCAAGAAGTGGACAAGTGAGATGATGGAGGCCTGAGCTGCTGGCTTCAGTACTTAGTAGGCTATTTTCTCAGCAGTGATGTTTACACCTACAGATTAGCGCTTTTTTTTTTCCCCTTCTTTTTTAAAACTGCTCCTTTTGCGGACAGAGCCTCTGTCTGTTGTTTGATTCCTTCAATTAGTCAAGTTCCTGAAAGAGTCCTAGAAATTCTTTGTCATTTACAAAGGTTGCTAGTGTTGGAGCTTCTGTGTTAGGGTTCCTGGGTGACCCTCTGCGCCTGGGAGGAGCCTGGTTCCTGGGATGCTGAGGGTGGAGGGGAATGCTCTGAGGTGTGGATGCTGGAAGGATGGTGTGTGTGCTGGGCATTCCCTGGGCCTGCTGGGTTTTAAGTGTCCCTGGGAAAGAGGAACAGGGCCCAGACACTCAGGATCCATGGGGAAAGGTGCAGGCTGAGAGGTTTGAAGTGCTTTTCTTTCCTCAAAGACAGCTGAAATCTGGAGATGTGTGCAGGGAGAGTTGTGGCCCCACACATCTGGTTCTCCAGCAACTCAGCCGGGACCGCCAAGTCCCCTCTAAAGGGTAACAGATGAACCGCAACTAGGCTCTGGAAAGCAGCGCCAAGTCGTCATATCAGAGCCCAGTCGGAGACCCATGGTATTTCACTAGTAGCAAGGCCTACAGGGAAGTGAGGCCCTGAGAGGATGGCTCCTTCCACAGTGGGCCTTGGGAACCTGGTGTCTTGAAACCGGGACATGTACCTCTGTCCACAGATTCTTTATTTTATTTATTTTCTATTTTTTGCCCATATATTCTTATCTAAGGCATCCCCAATACAATGAAGTGGGAGGTGGGGTGGGGCCATAGGAGGTATGACCTGGATCACTGGGAATGCTATTTGTGTGTGTCTGTGTGTGTGTGTGTATGTATGTGTGTGTGTATGTGTGTCTGTGTGTCTGTGTGTGTCTGTGTGTGTATGTGTGTCTGTGTGTGTGTATGTGTGTGTCTGTGTGTCTGTCTGTATGTCTGTCTGTGTCTGTCTGTGTGTCCGTGTGTATGTGCGTGTGTGTGTGTGTGTCTGTGTGTGTGTCTGTGTGTGTCTGTGTGAGTGTGTGTGTGTCTGTGTGTGTGTGTGTATGTGTGTCTGTGTGTCTGTGTGTGTATGTGTGTGTATGTATGTCTGTGTGTGTGTATGTGTGTGTCTGTGTGTCTGTCTGTATGTCTGTCTGTGTGTGTGTGTCCGTGTGTATGTGCGTGTGTGTCTGTGTGTGTCTGTGTGTGTGTCTGTGTCTCTGTGTGTGTGTCTGTGTGTGTCTGTGTGTCTGTGTGTGTGTGTGTCTGTGTGTGTCTGTGTGCGTGTGTGTGTCTCTGTGTGTATGTGTGTGTCTGTGTGTCTGTGTGTCTGTGTGTATGTGCGTGTGTCCGTGTGTGTGTGTGTGTCTGTGTGTCTGTGTGTGTCTGTGTGTGTCTGTGTATATGGGGACATGTCTCATCTCTTAGTATCTCCTGTATTGTGTGTAGAAGTTAAGGTTAAGGGCACAAGGTCTGGAGCCAGTGTTCAGTTCAGTTCAGTTCAGTTGCTCAGTCATGTCCGACTCTTCACAACCGCATGAATCGCAGCACACCAGGCCTCCCTGTCCATCACCAACTTCCGGAGTTCACCCAGACTCGTCCATCGAGTCGGTAATGCCATCCAGCCATCTCATCCTCTGTCGTCCCTTTCTCCTCCTGCCCTCAATCCCTCCCAGCATCAGGGTCTTTTCCAATGAGTCAGTGTACTCAGGTTCAAATACTGACTCTGTTACTTACCAGTTGTATGATCTTGGGCAAGTCACTCCACCTCCCTGTGCCTCAGTTTCCCCATCAAGAAAATGGGGATAACATGTAGGATTGCTCTGAGATTCACTTCATGAACACTGGCATCTAGTAAGAGTTATTTGTATTATTTTGCACAACAACATTTCCAGTCAGTCTCTCTTATGAGTCTTAGGACTGGGGTTGGAGGCAGCTCCATAGATGTTCACTGCTTTCTCTGTGTTTCAGAGGAGACCTGGGTCTGGAGGGCAGCATGGTTGATTAGAGCAAGTCCAGAGTTATATAGCTAGGCAGACTTGAGTTCAAAGCCATTTACAAGGTATGTAACCTTGGTTAGGAGACCTTGTGTCTTTGTACCTCAATTTTCCCATCTGTGAAATGGGGACAATTCTTATCTCATAGAGAAACTGTGAAAATTAGATGAGAGGACATATGAAATCTCTTAGCTCACTGCCTGCCAAGTAGTAGACTGCCAGTGATTAACTTGATTTTTTCCTTTTTGCTGTTTAGAGTGCCTACAACAGAACTTAACTTTTTTTTTTAATCAATAGCTTTATTTTTCCTCAATATACATTTAGAAAACCAGTCTGAGAAGAAGGTTCATGAGACAGATCAGAGGACTATATACAAACTCAGGAATTCCAGATCAGCAAGACAAAGTACACAGACAACACACTCTTCCCCAGGGCCCTGGGGCCTAGGACTGTCCCAGCAGAGATGAGGCAAGCTTCTGGATGGCTTTTGAGTTCAGTTGAGGAATCGTGCTGATCTTCAGGAGTTTGCTGCTTGCATACTTATTCCTGATGGCGGTGAACTTGGTTATGTTCTCGTTGATTCGCATGGCGTTTTTGGCCATGTGCCGCATGACCTCCAGCACCTCATTCTCTGTGTAGCTGGTGTAATACTGCTGCTTTAACAGAATTGAGCTTTTTAAATCAGTTTATTTATTTATTTTTGGCTATTCTGGGTCTTCATTGCTGCACAAGCTTTTCTCCAGTTTTGGTGAGTGGGAGCTACTCTATACTTGTGGTGCTTGGGCTTCTCATTGCAGAGGCTTCTCTTGTTGTGGAGCATGGCCTCTAGGGCATGTGGGCTCCAGTACTTGTGGCATGTGGGCTCAGTAGCTGTGTCTCCCAGGCTCTAGAGCATGGGCTCAATAGTTGTGGTGCATGGGCTTTGCTGGTCCCCAGCATGTGGGTTCTTTCCAGATCAGGGGTTGAACCCATTTCTCCTGCACTGGCAAGGGGATTCTTTACCACTGAGCCACCTGGGAAGCCCAGAACTGAACTTTTACTCTATGTGTTTCTCTTTAATTGCAACAATTATTTGAATGGCAGTGATAATAACATTCATAATAGTAATAACTCCCCTCCTCCTATATAGCTGTTTATTGATTTACACATTGTTCACATATATCATCACAGGTAATCATAACAACAGCCCAGTGAAGCATGTGGTATCATTATCCCCACTTAAAGATGAGGAAACTGAGGCACCTTGAGAAGGCAAGTAGCTTCCAACAAGGCCCTGGCCAGATTTTGCAGAGGGATCCCCTTTTCAGCTGTGCAGAGGCCATGGCTCGCTTGGGTCTAGGGAGCCCCTGTGCTTATGCAAATGGATGAGTGCTAATCGCTTTCCTAATGGGAAACATGTGGGGAGATAGGATCTGCCGCAAAGCGGAAAGGCCTTCCAGGAGAGCAGAGTTGCAAGAACTCCCAGAGAAATCTGGGAAGATAAGGTGCTGCCCTGGGAACTAGCCTGGCAGTGACTCCAAGGCAGGCTGGGATGTGTGTAGTTAACCGACTGCCTTGGGCCCGGAGCAGCTTGGAGAGCAGGGTCCCTCTCCCTGAGCCACGTCCACTTGAAGAGCAGCCGAGCACAGAATTCCTGGGCACCTTCTCCTCTTTACTTTGCTCTGTGATGGGTTCTGGTGTCGTCCAGACACATCTAAACCCTGCCTCTTAGGAGAAGAGTTCAGCAGATTGAGCATCTGGACTCTAAAGCCAGATCCTCTGGGTTCAAATCTAATTTCTGCTAACTTACTTACTAGCTGTGTGACCTTGGGTGAGTTACTCAACCTCTCTGTGCTGTAGTTTCCTCATTTGTGTGCTGGGATACTATTTGTTGGTGATGATCCTATACTGAGGATTAAGTGAATTAATCCATGTAGAATGATTAGAAGAGACATAACGAGTACCGGATAAATGGTAGATACTGTTGTTGTTGTTGTCATTATTACTTTAGAAAGATAATAAAAATTCAGCCAAGTCCTTCCCTTGCTTGAAATATTTCCAGAGTGTCCCACTGCCCTCAGGCTCCAGTGCATTCTCAGTGCTGTTGTCTGCATGGAGCCCCTGCTCGTGTTCCGGCTTTATCACATTCCCTGACCCACTCCCCTGCGGCCACCCTGAATGACGTGTGTTTTCCTGAATGTTCCATATTCTTGCCACTGGGCCTTTGCATATGCAAGTTTCTTGGCCTGGAGTTTTCCCCTCAAAGGATGTGCTGTCCTCCCATCTCCTGTGTTCAGCTGTTGCCAAAGAAGCTTTATTTCTGATGCCCAGCAGATTTTTAAATAAATAAATAAATAAATAAATATATATATATTTATATTTATTTATTTGAGTGCTCTGGGTCTTGGTTGTGGCATGTGTGATCTAGTTCCCTGCCCAGGGATCAAACCTGAGCCCCCTGCTCTGGGAGCACGGAGTCTTAGCCACTAGACCACCAGGCAAGTCCCTGCCGTCAGATTTTGATGTCCATGCCTGCATCCTCATGGCCTCTCGAGTCCCACTAACCCAGCACTTACCACCGTGTCATGAATGCTCAAGATCTGTCCCCACATTGGGCTGGGTGGCCTCTCTGTCCCCAGTGCACAGAGCAAGTCCTGACCTGGAGGAGTTTCAAGTGTTTGTTGAACCAATCTGGAGGGGATCTCAGACAAGTACACCAAGCTAACTGCCCTGAGGTCCCACCCGGCTTCTGTAGACAGCACAACCTGAGAACATGGCATCTGGATGGGTGGTGAGGCTGGTGGTTATAGAACAGGCTTTTGAGACAGTCTGAGGTTTGAATCTTGACCCAGCTTCTTGTGAGCTGTGTCACTGTGGGCGAATTGTGTAACCTGTCTGACCTTCACTTTCTACCCTGGTAAATGGGAATAATAGTAGAGACTGAGCATGAAGTGAAATCATGATGTAAACTGCTTTACCCCATGTCTGGGACATAGTCAAGGCTGTTAAATGGTGAGTGTATACTTCACCATCACCATGATCCATCCTAAAGCTGCCTATCCCACAGGCTGCCTTTACAGCTCCTGCCTTTAACCTGGAGGCAGCAGCCGGGTGTGTGAAACTGCCTGGCAGTGGAAATGTCTCTGGGCACCGCCTCTCACACTATCAGCAAGGAGGAACCACCTGGGAATCTAAGTGGAAAGAGGACTGGTTCGGTGTTCAGACATCTGCCTGGTGGCCCTGCAGGACCCAGCCATTTCCAGAGATCTCCTCTGGCATTTGGATTCTAATGTTTGGTCCCCTGGATTCTAGAATTTAAAATTGCCTTTCTCTACCTGGTGTTCTACTATATGAATAAAGCCACACTATGTATGGTTGATGCTAGCATGCATTCATTTTTATTCATTCCACATTTACTGAGTACTTGCTCTGTGGTTGGAGTTGGTGATACCTAAGACTAGTATGGTATGGTGAGCCTGCTCTCAAATCGCTCACAGCCTGGAGGGGCAAAAGTGTAAATGAACAGTTAAAGACCAAGCTGTCAGGACTTCCCTGGCAGCCCAGTGGATAAGACTCTGCCCTTCCAAAGCAGGGGGTGCAGGTTTGATCCCTGGTTGGGAACTAAGATCCCATGTGCGTTATGGTCTGTCCAAAAAATATGAAAAGGGAAAAAAAAAAAAAAAACAACAAGCTGTCAGGGACTGTGAAGGGATCAGGGGGCTATGGGAGCCCTAGTTCGGACACCTGACACTCCTGAGCCCATTCTTTGTCCCAAGTGGTGTGCTAAGGGGTCTCCATGTGGAATGCTATTTGGTCTTTCAAGAGCCCAAAACTGAAGTTCCAATACTTTGGCCTCCTGATGCGAAGAACTGACATTGGAAAAGACCCTGATGCTGGGAAAGATTGAAGGCAGGAGGAGAAGGGGATGACAGAGGACGAAATGGTTGGATGGCATCACTGACTCAGTGGATATGAGTTTGAGCAAGCTCTGAGGGATAGTGAAGGACAGGGAAGCCTGGTGCGCTGCAGTCCATGGGGTTGCAGAGTCGGACACGACTCAGTGGCTAAACAACAGAGCCCAGCATTTAGGCATGAATATTGTCTTTACCTGAATGTGTTTTCTGTTGCTGCTATAACAGATTCCCACAAAACTGAGTGGTTTAAAATAACACAAAACTACAATCTTATAATTCTGGAGACAGAAATCAGGAACTACTTTCACTGGACTAAAGTCAACGTTTTGGCAGGGCTGTTTTCTGCAGGCTGTGATGGCAAAATCCATTTCTCTGCCTTGTCAGCTTCCGGAGACTGCCTGTGTCCCTTAGCTCATGGCCCTTGCATCACTCCAGTCTCTGCTTCTGTCACCAAATTCCCTGCTCTTACTTGGACCCTCTGCCTCCCTAGGGTGGCAGGGACTCTTGTGATTACACTGGATCTGCCCAGATAATCCAGGATAATCTCCCCATTCTAAAACCCTTAACATAATCACACCTGCAATGCTCCTTTTACTATACAAGGTAACACATTCACAGGTTCCAGGGATTAGGATGTGGACATCTTTGGGAGGGGGTGTTATTTAGCTCACCCCACCATCTTCCAGATGAGAAAACTAGGGCGTCTGAATGTTAAGGAATTTCCAGAGTCATTTAGCCCCTAACTGGCCAATCCTGGGCTCCCTGGTCTTAGGCCTTGAGCTCTTGTCCTTGAAACAAGAAGACTGCTAGTGAACCAGGTTTTGAAGAATGAATTGGAGTTAACAAAAGGTGTGGCAGGTAGAGGAGTGGTGTGAGCCAAGCATATTGGTGAATGTAAGCTTAGCTCCCGATGTGTTTTGGGGCCATAAATTGCTCAGAATGGCTGGAGTGTGACATGAAGGACAGGGAGCAGGTGGACAGGGTCTGGATGGTAGAGAGTCACAGAGCGTGGGCTGAGATGCCTGCCATTCAGCCTGAGAGATGTGAAGATCCCCGGGGTGGGGTTGGGGTTCCCTGTACGTCCTGGATCAAATCCCATTCTCTCTCTGAGCTCTGACTTCCAGGCAAGGGAAATGATGGGCCATGACTGGGTGAACCCATCTGCCTGCCCCCTCGTTGCCTGGCCTGGTCCCATCCATCTCTGGGCAGAAACGAGGGCTTGATGAACTGCCCCCTCCCCCCATACCAGGACAGTGACGGTTTCCAAATATCTGTCTGTTGAAATAATGTTCTCTGGGCGCTGGGCCTCCCTCCCGCCCTCACATTCCTGGGCGAGCCTGCCTGTTTGGCTTGCTCGGACAAATATTGACTTTCTCTGTCCTTCTCACTCTGGGTCTGTTTAAAAGGCATCAATCTTTGCCGGGGTGTGAGCTCCCTCTCCGTAACCTGTGGCCTCTGCGGTCCTGTCCGGGCAGGGAGTGGTGGGGAGGGGCTCGCAGGCCCCTGGGGACACCCCTTGGGCTGCCATAGAGAGGCTTTCATGGGATCATCAAGTGCCTTCCATCCGGTCCCTGTAGCGTGGCATTCACACGGAGACCCTCCGGTCACCTTCTTCCCAGCTTCGTTACACCAAGCAGGGTAGCTGTGTGATCCTCTGTTAGAAAACCCTGCTGACTCTACCTTCCAAGTCCTACCCATGAGCCAACCACTTCTCAGCTTCCTCAACTACTGCCTGTGTCCAAGAACCACCATCTTGCTCTTGGGTTATTAAATTAGCCTCCTAACTGGTCTCTCTGCTCCTGCTCCTGCTCCCATCAGGCTGTTCTCAGTGTTGGAGCCAGACTGTAAATGGTCGTCAGATCCTGCCACTCCTGTGGCCCCAGGCCTCCAGTGACCTCCTGGTCACTCAGAGGAAAATGTCTTACAGTGAGTGACTTCAAAACCTCCGTGGTCTGTCCCCGCCTTCCTTCCTTGAACTCCCTCCTCACTCACTCCTGGCGGCTCTGCTCCAGCCTCATTGGCCTCAGCCTGAGAAACTTTGCATTGACGGTTCCCTCTGCCAGCCCGGGGGCTCCTCTCCCCGACATCTGTATTGTTTTTGCTCAGATGTCACCTTTTCAGTGAGCCCTTTCCTGGACAGCACCCTTCTACCCTTCCACCCACAGCACTCTGTCCCTACCTGCTTAATAGCGCTTCCTACATCTAACAGACTGTGTATTTTAATCACTGATTTTGTTTATCAGCTTTCTCTCCTAAGGGCAGGGATTTCTGTCTGTTTCATTTCACAGCTGCAGCGTCTGCACCTAGGATGGTGCTGTCCCACAGCAAAGAGCCTGACTGTCCTTGGAGTAAACGTGCGGCTTCCTGCTTTGTAGATGAGAGTTCGTGGGGTTGTTAGTGTAATAGCCAACATTTATTATGTGCTTTCTGGGCACATCACGTACACAAGCTCACCAGATGCTCACAACAAGCAATCCATAAGCTGGGCACAGCTATTGACCCCTTTCGTGGGTGAAGGAAAAGAGGCATCAAGTAGTGTAGGGGTGGAGCCTGGCTGCCTCGCCAGGCTGTGTCCAGCCCTTGGTGCGTGCATGTGTGCATGTGCCGCAAAAGGCCAGCTGCGGGGTGAGCTGGTGTCCAAGCCTGTGATCTCCATTCATCCCCTCCTGCCTTGGGCCTCCCACCTGTCACCAGGACACGAGTTTGCAGATTCATCTCAGTCCATCTCGCCCCATGGCACTTGGCCAGGCCCCTTCATTCAGCTCTGGCTTCCAGCCTCTCCCTCTGTATCTTTGTCTGCCTCTCTCTCTCATGCGCCACCCAGCTTGCTGCCCACGCGCTGCCCTTAGACCTCATTCCCCTCTTCTCTTTGCCCTGAGCTCCAGGGGAACCAGTATTAACCCCCTCCTGGATTTCTAAGCCCCATGGTATCTGGCTCAGGAAGCCCACCCCAACTTCCTCCCCTTCTCTAGTAATGAAGATCAGCCCCATGATTTTCCCCGCCAACCCTGCAGTCATGCACACCTCTACTTTTGGGATGCCCTCTCCTGAATTTTGAAAAAAAAAAAAAAGAAGACTGGAGAAGTAAGAATCATTCTAACAACATCATACATCTCAAGTTACCTGTCTGAATACATTCTCCCCTTCCTCCCTCTGTCCTACTCACCTCTTTCCTCTCTGCCTCCCTCTCTTTCTCTTCCCCACCATCTGTCTCTCAGCATTTGTAAGTAAATAACAGCCCTCAGCCCTCAAACTTCAGTACATATCTCTCAAACAAGGATGTTTTCCTACATAACCACAATACGATTATTGCCCTGAGTTTAATTTGGATACTTTATTATTATCTAATACATACCCATTCAAATTTTCCCAATTTCTAAATAATGCCCTGTAAAACATTTATTTTAGTTGTCATGTCTCTGTAATCTCCTTTAATCTAGAATAGTTTCCAAATCTTTTTTGGTCATCTTTCATGACACTGACATTTTTGAAGGGTCTAGATTGGTCGTTCAGGGAGTTATCTCCTGACTTGGATTTGTCTCAGCGGTTCCTCACGATTAGGTTCAGGTTAAGCATTTTTGGCAGGAGTACTCCCCTCCCTGCCCCCAGCCTCTCCCTCTCTCTCTGGATCTTCCCACCCACACTGCTGCCTCAGGCCTTGCCCTTGACCTCACCACATCTTGCCAGTGCTTCTCCACCCATGCCCAGCCCCATTCCCAGCCCCAGCTGCCGGGTCAGAGAGAAGACCTGGCATCCAGGGACCAGAGTGGGAGGAGCAGAAAAGCCACCCTGCCCTGCTCACTCGGAAGACATGAGGGAGCTCAGGAGGTGAGGGTTTGCTCCTGAGATGGTTTTTAGCAGCAGAGTCTTCTGTTCAGATACATCGTACATGGGAAAACAATGGAGACCGGCCCTGCTCCTGTTGGAGGATGTGTGTGTGTAGGTGCATGTGTGTATGTACATCTGTGTGTGCATATCTGTGTGCACACACAGCTGTATTCTTGGGCTTGTGTTCTAAAGCTTCAGCTCCAGGTTTTCCTTCTCTGCCCCAGGGAATTTTCATAGAATCTTTGGGGTCCCACTGATTCAAGGAAGCTGAACCACACAAACATCCATGAGGTGTACTGTGCTGAGTCTGGTGCTAGGCCTGTTGAAGGTGGTGTGGCCCACTGGCTTTGGAATCACATAGATCTGGCTTCCAAACCCTGCCCTGTTTTATTTTGGTTCTGTGGTCCTGGGCAAGTTACTTAACCTCTTTAAGGTTTGGTTTCCTAATCTGTCAAATGGGATAATAATAGCGTCTACCTCTGTATGACCCTGTGAAGTTGAGATACAGTAATGGCCTTGTAGGCCTGGCACATAATAGATGGATGCCCCCAAGTGTAGTGAGGAGAGCAGGGAGGGGTCCACAGGCTGCGATGCTGAACCCCCTACCCGGCAGGCTGAGGCTCAGGAACTGATTGTCAGAACAGTTGTTTCTGATCCACACAAGGCTCCTGACTTTCCGCTCTAAGCCTGTCATTCTGCGGTGGGTAATCAAGTGGGGCTTTGATGGTGGATGCAGTGGATTAGGGCTGGGAGGAGTTTCCAGGCCCAGCCCTTGGCAGTGACTGTGGGGAGGAGAGACTTTCAGAGCTGAGGGTGGGAGTGGGGAGGCGGGGAGCCCTAATTCACATCAGCCTCTGCTTGGTGCTTACCCCACCCTGTGCTTGGAGACCACTCCAGCTTGTCCAGATGTGGGAGACGAATTGGTCCCCTGGCTCAGCAGATGGGGGTCTGAGTTCTAGTCCTGACTCAACCGCCTACTCTGTGTGGATCAGGGTGTCACTCCCTGGTTCCCAGGCCACTTTATCTGTAAATTGTGCATGACCATGCATATGTGAGTGAGTGTGTGTGTGTGTGTGTGTGTGTATTGGATTCATTCACTAATTCATCAATATTAGTTGAGTTGAACACTTACTGTGTACAAGATGTAAGGATATAGTGGTGAGCAATAAAGAACTGTGGTAAATGCTCAAGGAGAGGAGCAAAGTGCTGTAAGATTGATGGTGATGGTGGGGGGTAGTCAGGGAAGGAATTCCTGAGAAGGTGACATCTAAGTCAGGCATAGGGCAAGAGGGACCTCTAGAGGAAACAGTATTTGCAAAGGTCCTGGGGCAGAGGGAGCACAAATGCTCTACAAGGACTGTTTCAGCTCTGCCACCTGAGGGTACTTGACACGCACCTTCCTTCTCATTTGATTCATGCCTCTCACAGTAGATGGGATATCCATAACTGGCCTTCCTTCCCTCTGTTCTCTGTGGCCCCAAAGATTGGAGAAAACAGGGAGGAAACTGGAAAAGGGAAATTCTGTTCCCTCTTCAAGCCTCATCAAGCCATTCCTTGTATCCTGGGCCCGCTCTCCCATTTCCTCAAACTCAAAATGACATATGATGTTTGGGATTTTCTTATTTCTTATTTGCTCTCCTCTCCTTCTGGTTTTTTTCTCCACGCTTCCTATAAGTGTCTGCTCGGAGGAGAAAAACATGGAATTTTTGGTTTTGTTGTCAAAGTGACTCATTCTCCATGTAGGTGACCCAGATGAAGTATGAGTGTGAGTGTGTGTGTGTTTGTGTGTGTGTGTGCGCACACACATGTGTGTGTGAGGCAGTGATAAGAGTGGGTGCTGGTGGTTGCTGTCAGGAGGCTCGAGGTTGGAGAACCCAGGCCTCAACCCTGCTCTGGCTTTGGGACTAATTAGTATGTGGGCAGCAGGAGAAGCGGGGTAAGAAGAGACTGTTCCAACCTCAAAGTCCCCTTGGCCAGACGTGGCTATGCTCTCGCTCAGGACTCTGCTGGGAGAGCAGCAGGTTGTTGTCTTGGGCCAGCTGCTTACAAGGCGCTGCTGCTGGTGCCCTGGAGTCACTGAGGACAAACTGCTCTAGCAGGCCCCTGACGGCACTGGAGGGCTTGGGGGCTGCTGCCTGGAGCCCTCCTGTGTGCCTTACGTGGCCGAGGGGGTTGAGTGCACCCTGCGGCCAAGCCTCTCGAAGGCTCATGGCTACAATCAAACAGTCTTCGGGGAGCTCCAGCGGAGGCTGAAGGGTAGGGAGGCGTCTCCACTGTCTGCTAGTCTGTGAAAAGAGGATCCGGGTAGTGCAGGGTCCATGGATCTGTGTTCAGGGTTCTCCAGGAGACTGGTCTCAAATGCATGTATGAGAAAGTCGTCAGCATGGTTTCAGGTTGAGGGGCTGAAGGACTTGGCCTCCCCCAGCCTTGGGGGACAGCAGGCGGCCATCGGAGGGCTATGGTGGGTTCCGGACACGCTGTGTGGAGAGGAGGAGTAACTTCTCCAGGCTGTCTGGATCTGTGATTTATTGGTGTCTGCATTATATTTTAGGTCCTGGCAGGCCCGGCAGCCTAACTTATCACTGGTCTGTTCAACCCTGGTCAGCTCAGCTGAGCCCAGCTTTGCATGCCTCCTCTCATCTGAGCTCCATCCAGGAGCTCAAGGAAATTGACTCAATATGACCCAACAACACAGCTTAGAAACTCAGCACAAGCCCTCTCCCTTCTCAATGAAGGCCTGTTTCATCCTACCTTACTCTGGACAATCCACCCCAACCACCAAAGTTATCTGAGCTCACCTATCCCACATTATTCAGCTAGGTGCTTGACTCAGTTCAGCACAAGAGCAAATGACATTTTCAACTTTTTTTTTTTTAGGTGTTCATTGTGGCTCGGTCTTTCTCTAGTTGTGGCACATGGACTCAGTTGCCCCATGGCATGTGGGATCTTAGTTCCCTGATCAGGGATTGAACCCGTGTCTTCTGCATTGAAAGGCAGATTCTTAACCCCTGGACCACAGGGAAGTCCCTCAACTTTTAAAAGACTTTTTATTTTATACTGGAGTCTAGCCAATTAACAATGTTTTGATAGTTTCAGCTGCACAGCAGAGTGACTCCGCATGTCAACATGCTGCAACATGTATCCATTCTCCCCCAAAGACACTTCCAACTTAGCTCACTCCTCCCCTCAGCTCAGCCTAGCTTATATCAATACAATACAACCTAATGCAGCCCAACAAAACTGAGTTTACCTTAGTGCAGGTTTATCCAGCCCAGTCCAAGTCAGCTGGGCCAAGACTAGCTGTGCACTGACCCATTATTCCAACCTGGTCTAAAGCAACTTGGTCCAACTTGAATCAACCCAGTGTGACTCAAGTTCAACTAAAGTTTCCTTTCCTAGATTTGAGCTAATTGACCTCAACCCTTTAGCAACTCCTTCAGTAACTCAGACTATGAACTCCAAGGGCAGAGATTTTGTATTTTTTAGTCATCCAGGTATCCCAAAGAAGCAATATAGATACACAGTAGATGAATGATAAATCTTTGTAAAATGAATTGTTGAATGAACCTTTTCTGGCCCAACTTAAATTGACTCCATTTAATTCCACTTTTAGCCTTAGTTTGAACTAGATTCTATAACCTCTTATATCAAACATCCAACTTATAAAAATTTCATGTATTTATTCAAGTATGTACTGGGAAGTGTTCCAGTGCTCTGAGTATCACAGTGACAAGGCTGTCAAAGTCTTTCCTTGAGCTTACATTAGCAGAGATGACAAGAATAAAATAAAAATATATAAACACATATGTATGTGTGTGTGTGTTGTAATGCCACATAGTGAAAAGTACAGTGAGGATAAACACAGCTGAGTAAAGGGGTAGAGGATGTTGGGGGTGGAGCAGTAGTCTTCATGCGATGAAGAAATATGGTGGTCATAGAAAGCCTCTCTCAGATGATGTTTGATCAGGAACCTGAACAAAAGAGCAAGCCCTTTGGTTATCTGGGACGTTTTCCAGGAATGGGGTATAGCAAGTGCAAAGGCCCCGAGGCAGAAATGAACTAGGTTTTCCAAGAGACAGGAAGGCCAGGGAAACTAGAGCAGTGTGAGATCCAAGAGACTTCTATCCTGCTGGTCTCTTCGCTTCAAGTGTTGGGACTGTCTTGTATGTGGCTGCCTTCCCTGCTTCTGGCATGTGCTGACACACAGAAGCCACTTAGAAAAACGTTTTTGATTGAATGGATTCAACTGAGCATAATGCCAATTGATTTAACCCTAATTAATATATTTAACTCAAGGCACTTTATTTCAGTTGGACTCTGACAAGACTTTTTTGGACCTTGGCAACCTTTGGAAAAGTGGGCTGCAATTCTAAGATTTGAAGAGTGTAAGATTCTCTTTATTTTCCTAAGCCTCAATGAACTCGTCTATTAAAAAGGAACAGTAACATCTGCCTTGCCTCTTTTGTGGGTGTTTTGAGGATTAGTGAGATTGTGGGTGTGAAGGTGCTTTGCAGACAATCAAGCACTCAGGTGACCTTGGAAGTATGTGAGTAAGGGGAGGGAGGGCGGATGTGTCATCTCTCTGATTCCTTCTCTTTATAACATTCCACAAATCTCTTTTTCTATGCGAGTATCTAATACATAGATTTGAGCAAATCCCTTCACAGTTTAAAACCCTCCCAGGGAACTTCCCTAGTGGTCCAGTGCTTAAGAATCCGCCTGCCAATGCAGGGGACATGGGTGCGATCCCTGGTCTGGAACGATCCCACATACCTCGGGGCAACTAAGGCTGTGTGCCACAACTACTGAGCCCGTGCTCTAGGGCCCTTGAGCCACTATTTCTGAAGCCCTTGCACCTGGAGTCCTGGGCTCTGCAACAAGAGAAGTCACCGCAATGAGAAGCCTGCGAGCCACTACAAATAGAGAAAGCCAGTGATCAGCAGCAAAGAACCAACATAGCCAAAAATAAACAAAGGCAACAATAATAACAACAAAAATCTCTCCTAGGGATGCCTGGTGGATATGAGATGAAGTTCAAAGTCCTCACCATGGGCCCAACACCTACCACAGCCTCCCCTGACCTGCCGGGCCTCTGCCTGAACACTTGCTCTCCTGTGTGTCCTTCCCCAGGCCTCTCTTCTTTCTCTGGGTCTCTGTACCTGTGGCTTTCTCTGCCTAACTCCAATTCCTTCCTGCCTTATCTTTTTCTATTTAAATCTCAGGTAGGCAGAGCAAGTTTAGTTTGATGACCCTTCTCCACATGGTAAAGCATCATTCTCATATATCCTGTTTTCCTACCCCTTTATCCCCAATTCCTCCTCCCATTTCACTCTTCCCAAAAGGTCCCCACTCTAATGTGTTTGGTGTATGAGCTGGGAAATGCACATTTCTTGGAAAAAAAATGCATGGTGTTGTTTTCTTTGTGTATGTTTTTAATTTGTATAAATGGTATTTTGCTTTTGAGCACCTTCTGTTTCTTATTTTTGTGCTCTTAACGATGTTTCTAAGATCTATCCATATCACTGTATGCCCCCCTGGAGTCTAGTCCCTTGCGTCTAACTGCCTACACACTGTGTGCTTTCACTGCGTTTTTCTTACCTGCTGCCCTGTCACTCCTTGCTCCTCGGCACCACTGACAGTGCTCTCATGAACATTCTCGTACCTTCGTGATCACGGACAGGGTGTGCGCTTATT